GGAACTCGGTAGGACCACGGGAATGTTCTTAGCTTGGTTTATCATTTCTAAGTTGAGTGGGTCCACTGATGTAGGGGAAAATAGCTAAAATCGTAATGTACGACTAAGCCCGGGTAAACGGCGGGATTAACTATGAGTAACCTGAGGAGCGCCGGGTTCATAAGCTAGTATTTAATAAAGAACTTGTGCCTGCAGCCAAATGTTTGACATTTTCTCTCAAGGACACCGTTCATAATATCTTCAGGCTCTCCACAGCGTATTGCTGAAATGAAAAAATATTAAATTATATTAATTAAAAATAAAATAAATAGCAAGACTTTCAGGGAACTTAAGACTTGCATTAGCTGCCTAAAAGTCTGTCTGGTACTTCACTTGAATTGGAGTGTTCAATGCCCCCCCCCCTTAAAGCAACCAAAACAAATGTTCATAAAGAATCCAATATTAAAAATTGCATTTTGCACTTAATAGCTCCGGATATCGTTTTATCGACTGCACCCCTCTTCAATTATTCACAAATGCATATTCCTATAAAAATTTGAATCCTAACAAAAGGCAGTATTTGCAGTTTGTTTAAAAGAGTTGAATAGCAAGTGACAAGAAAAGAATATATTCTATTCAAATTGTCACAAAAAGACAAACCTATAAAATAATAAATTCATCCATCACAATGAATAGTTTGCTAATCTAAACCGGAACCAGGGGAGTATTCAGGGGGGGGGCTATGGGGGTTAAGTCCCCCTGAATCTATTGATTTCAGGGGGTTTTCAGACCCCAACGGGTGCTGATCCCCCTTGGAAAGATAAAAAATTTAAGCCCCCCCCCCTGGAAAAATTCCTGAATACGCCCCTGACCGGAACCCTTCAAACAGTTTAACTTAAGTTAAAGGGAGTGTAAGCGTAATTTCAATTGATCCTCTATGTGATCAAAAAGTGGAATTCCTGACTCGAGAAAAGTGTTTAAATCTGTTCATTTCTAGATTTCTTTATATAAGCAAGAAATGCGAAAGTCACTTTTGCAGAGAAACCACAAATGAAAATAAACAGTGTAAAGACAAAGCTTTCAAGGGTACCGTTGTGAATTGGGCATACCGTCCCTTAAATTCTCCTGATTAGCTCTAGAGTCTAGATATATGCAAATAAATTATCACAATAGGTGGCAACAGAGAAATGGACCAATTATACATGACGTCACAAGTGTCAAATATAACAAGAAAGACAACATTCTCTCCCATTAGTTGACATGTTTTCCAAAATTAAATAAGAAAGTGTAAAAACAAAAAATAAAGAAATTGCATTATTTCACTTCAAAAAAAATTCAATAAAATACGACTCGGGTCTAAGCTGTCGTTGGGCCTTATTTACGGCTCGGGCTTTCGGATTTAAGTTGCATCTAATTTTTAACAAAAAGTGTTTAAATCTGTTCATTTCTAGATTTCTTTATATAAGCAAGAAATGCACAAGTCACTTTTGCAGAGAAACCAAAGATGAAAATATACAGATTAAAGAAATAAAAGCATTGATAAGTAATTTAAAATTGATCAGACAAAGCTTTCAAGGGTACCGTTGTGAATTGGACATACCGTCCCTTAAATTCTCCTGATTAGCTCTAGAGTCTAGATATATGCAAATAGATTATCACAATAGGTGGCAACAGAGAAATAGATAAATTATACATGACGTCACAAGTGTCAAAAATAACAAGGAAGACAGCATTCTCTCCCATTAGTTGAAAATTAAATAAAAAGTGTAAAAACAGAAAATAAAGAACATAAAACTTCACTTATTTCACTGTAAGATAAGCTCTTTATTATCACTATTATTAATAATTTTGTCAGACACATAAAACTGTTGACACTTATGAAGTAGAATAAAGCTGTACTGATAGTGTATAAATTCTACGTTGCCATCTATTGTTTTTGATAATCTGTTTGGATATATGCAAATTGCTGTTTGCATATGAAAATAAAATGTATTCTACAGTTAGAAAACATTTTAAAATATATATTAATTGCATTGCATATTTTACAAATATAACTAGTTCATGGACTTTATCTACGGGCACCTGCAAATCAAGATGTGCACAATCGCACGCAAAAATCTAGCAGTATTTTGCCGATTACTTCTTTTGAATTTCAGCTAGCGGAATATATGTTTTAAATGTTTAGGGCTACAAAAGGTATGGAGTGAGTTGGTGGGGTAAAACACCTGAAAGTCGAGGCTGACAAACAATTGCTAAGTTGTCTATATCTCAGTAGGGTCAAGCAAAGGAATGGAGTCTCTGCCATAAACTTGAATTTCCTAATCCCTATGCAATCTGAGCTGAAAACTTTAGAATGCGATATCCCTAATCACGATCGCTTAATCTGAGTATCAATGTACACACATATGATTTTCTTCTTAATCCTCTTTTTGATTATTTCTACTGTATAAAATTTACGTTTGATAACAATTACGCATACAATGCTATTTCGATTGGACTAATATACGATTGAATTAAAGTCAGCTGTTTACAAGCCGGCTTTTAGAGCATAATTAAACAAATATAAATTTAATCATGTTAATATGAAATTATTAAAAACATATTTTAGGACTATTGTCATTTTAAACGTTAGTCTTCATAAACATTAATCCAAAACTTAAGTTCGTTCAATCGATGTTTAGTTCAATCGATATGACACCATCAACACCAGAAATCAAAACCGGTTATTCAAAAGTTAAAGATCGTACATCTAAACATGACTGGCTGATTGGTTAAATTTTTAACTTCTTTCTGTGATATCGAATGCGTTTTGATATAATCTTAGGTCTTGTGAAACCAGAGCCCGCGATTTAAAAGCTTCGGCTCGAGACCACCTCGAAATCCTCATCCTTCTGGGGACATTTTATCAAATTTGTGAAAAACTGAATATGCTCCATAAACGATGTTCTATAAATAATCTGCAGTCTGCACACTATCAGTGGGAAGGACGAGAATTTCGAGGTGGCTCAGACGAGAAAACGAGGAAAATGTGGCTCGGACGAGAAAATGTTGTGGTTGGCATTTCTCCCGTCATGAGGTATCCCTGGAACCTAATATATATGATAATACCTTTCCTCTTCTCATTCTCACAAACTTTAAATCCTCTCTTTCAAACCAGGAAATGTTTTAAAAAGAAAAGAAGTATTTCTATTTCTTTCAGAACAAAAGGAACATGCTCAATCTTATTTAAAGGGACTGTAAGCGTAATTTCAAGTAACTCTCCATACAAAAATGGCAAAAATGGCAATGCTATATTGAATTTCTACATTTAACCAGGCAAAGGACAATATTTCCCCCATTATTGTTCAACTAAAGGTTTCAAAGGTACCGTTGTGAATCGGGCATTTCATCTTTGCATGGAGGGTCATTTAAAACTACGATTACAGTCCCTTTAGCAGAGTTCAGAACGTAGTGTGACGTATTTGCAATTGGTCCTCTACATATTTATAAGAGTGGAATGTCAGATTGATAACAGTACCCTTAAGTTTTAAACTCTATTTCTAATATTAACAGAATGGGGGGGGGTACTTGTGACCCCCCCCCCACCTCTGTTTTTCCTCTAGCATTTTCAATTTCGACACTATCACCTTGAAATTTTTTTACTTTAAATAATTGTAATTTAAAGTATTTTTTAATGCATAGGCATAGGGTAGGGTACAGGGCGGTAAAAAGCCGGGTAAGGGAAAAAAAAAACGTTTTGCTTTTATAGCTGCAAGATAAAAACGGATGTAAGCATCCCTAACACCAAAACTATTAATGCTAGTGGTCTAATTATTTTCTTTATTCTCTATATTTCGCAAGACATTGAATCATCTAAATCTGTTTGGTCAAGTTTCAAACCCTTGGTCGACTCTCCGAAATTATAAATACAATTGTTACAGCTAAGTCTTGAGGGTGGGTGGAAACCAAGGTTTTATAATAAGGTTAGAATTACTCTCGATACGCTCCAATGTAGGTAAAGACGACCTTTATTGCAATAGACATTCTAAATCCTCATATGACGTCATTGCTTATTTTAAATAAAAATAAATTTTGCGGCTCAGAAAATATAAAAATTTAAAAGTCGGCGCGAATTAAAAAGATGCTTACAAATGCCCGTTTTGCGTAGAACCTATATCTTTTTCACAACTCATAAAGCCTATTTTTTTTATTTAACATTACAAATAAATCATTTTTATTTTTAAAAGCCGTTAGTTGTCGTCAAAAAATACTAACGATCCTCAATCAGTTTATATTAAATAAATAAATAAATAAATATCTAGATCTTAAAAAAGTTTATATTGAATATTATGTAAACAATAAATATGTAACTTTCCTTTTCCTTTCGTGTACTTTCCTTTCCTTTGATTTCTATTTTCTATATTTTTTTAATTGGGGGGAAATATTCCCACAAACTCTATTTTCTCCTGAAACACTTAGTTTTGTATGTTGTTGTTATATTTCATAAATAAATAGTTACTTACTTACTTAAACGAACTCAACAATTGTTAACTTGAATTAGAATTGCATTCTTAAGCACTTGTTAGCACGATCAATATTTGTTAAATGTGATGATTGTTAGCTTATGTGACATCATATGAGGCTTTAGAGTGTCCATTGCAATAAAAGACGACATTTACCTACATTCGAGCGGCATACTTACAACCTAGGTGGAAACAGATCATGGGATTAATAAATAATCATTCAGAAATTCAGGCCTCCTACCTTGTTCTTAATTTTAGAAACTAATCTATTTCTCTGAATTACCCACTAAACCCCGGCTGTTCTAATTTATAACCTTCAAAACTTGACTCTCCTGAAACTAGAAAATTAGACCAACTTTTTCCCATTCTCGACTCAACAAAACCTTTTAACTTCTCTTTCTTATCTCATATACATAGGTTTCTTACCTTTTTATTAAGTATCATATATGTAGCAATGTGGTGTTAATAGTTTAAAAAATCAAATAGAACTTTGCTTTTATTAAGCTTTACAATACCTTCATCCTTAAAAAACATAAAACGGCCCAAAAAGACTGTTCAACACATTCGTTTTTGCATCGTTTTTGGATCGTTTTTTGCACATATTTTCTGTCAGGGTCAAAATTTGACATAGTGTGAGAAAAATCCAATGTTTAGAATAAAAATTTAAAAAATTAAAAACATTTTCTCTTGTTACATTATGCCAAATTTTGACCTTGAAAGAAATTATTTGTAAAAAATACGACCCAAAAAATAACTGAGGTCACATCACTATATGCACAGAGCTGGGAACTTTAGAATGGTGGATATCAAGATTAATGCTTGATCCACTCTTTTTCATAATATCGGGACTAATCTAATCTTGTACTTGTATCCTGAAAAGTGTATAAAATTCAACCAATCAGAGTCACGTATATGAAGCCGATAAAGGAATTGAGTTTTTGCCACAAACTAAAATTTTCTAATCCCTATATCTTTGCAACCTGATGGGTTGAACCTTAGATATTTCAAATTTAGATTATTTGATCCAACAGAAATGATACTTTGAAATATCTAAAGTTTACGACTTTAGGTTGAAAAAATAAAGGGATTAGAAAATCGGAGTTTGTGGCAAACTTTCAATTCCTTTGAAATTTTGCGAGCCATTTAAGATTATATACAGAAATGGGATGACTCTCTAATATAAGAAAAACCGGTTTTTGATTTTTCTCCACTATATCCAAGAAAGAACGATTTAAGAAGAAAATTAAAAGTGTGTCCATTGGATACTCAGATTAAGTAATTTTAAGGATATCTCATTCTAAAGTTTTCAGCTCAGTGTATATTTATTAGACCTTCAACTTAACCTAAGAAGAATTCAATCCAAGACTGGTAAAAAAGGATTTTTTTCTCCAGTGCACCCACACGTTTAGAAGAAACCTTAAGAATCGACATTTCAGCATTACGAAAATGTTGTTCCAAATTACGAACATGTTGTTCCAAATTACGAAAATGTTGTTCCAAATTACAAAAATGTTCTTCCAAATTACGAAAATGTTGTTCCAAGTTACGAAAATGTTGTTCCAAATTACGAACAGGATTAAAAAAATTCATAAAATTCTGTTCAAAATTTCGTGTTTTGTAAAGCATTAATGAGGTTATGTCGATTTACTTTAAATATTATGCTGAATACTTTTGGTAGTTATTTATTCCGAAGAAAATGTTGTCCCCCAGCCAGCTTCCTATTGATGTGTTTAGGTTATGTAATGTATTCTCTGAATATTTGCAGGGATTACCATAGGGCTTTACTATACAGTATACAAGCTTTCATATACTGTATACTATATACTGTATACTATATACTATATACTGTATACTGTATACAGTATACAGTATACTGTATACTGTACACTGTATACTATATACTGTATACTGTATACAGTATACAGTATACTGTATACAGTATACAGTATACTGTATACAGTATACAGCATACACTATACAGTATACAGTATACTGTATACAGTATACAGTGTACAATATACAGTATACTGTATACTGTATATAGTATACAGTATACAGTATACACTACAGAATACAGTATACAGTATACAGTATACACCATACAGTATACAGTATACAGTATACAGTATACAATATACAGTATACAGTATACAGTATACACTACAGTATACAGTATACAGTATACACTATACAGTATACAGTATACAGTATACAGTATACAGTATACAATATACAGTATACAGTATACAGTATACAGTATACAGTATACAGTATACAGTATACTGTATACAGTATACTGTATGGTGTACTGTATATACAGTATGTTTTACATATATTTTTTGTACATATATTGTGTTAATATCTGTTATATTTATTACTGCAGAAAAATGAATGATTTGATATACTGTATAGTGTATACTAGCTGTACAATATACCTGCTTTTTTACAGTTCAAACTGTAAATTTAAAAGAATAAATTAGACAATTTACAGTATATGGAGTATATACTTTACAATATATGGAGTATATACTTTACAATATAAACAATATTAACAACTTTTGAATTTTGTCAATTCTGTTTGTCAATCTTAAAACATGGCAATAACTTGGCAAATTGATATTTGATAATGATTCCTAGAATACAGGTTTCCAATTTAACTTAAATAAACTTCTGACATTTAAAACTGAGATTTCAGAATAGCTTCTCAATAGCACTTAAAGGAAAGAAAATCTTGTGCAAAACAGGAAAGTCAAAAAAAAAAATTCACCTTCGACGCGTCTTTTGGTTTCTAGATCTGGATTTTTTGGTTCCGAAATAAATCTAGCACCCCCCTCACTTAAATCCTGTACCCGCCCCTGCTTGTACCAATGTGAAGCCCATTTTGCTGTATACAGTGAGACGCATAAAAATGTGGATTAAGAAAACGTCTGCTAGACTCAATTTATTATTTTAAATATTTCATGATGCACTTGAAACATATAACTTTATTACCATGATTTCTGTAACAACATCAAATACGCATAAAACTGCGTAAATGTCGTCTCACTACGCCATTGTTTTAGGTGTCCCATTGTATTTCAAAATGTGTCTCATCAGATATATCGAAAGCAAAGTCCTTGTATATTTCAAAGACAATATAAAGGAACTGGGTTCTTTCCACAAACTCAGATCTTCCAATTCTTATATACTTTCAACCTGATGGTGTAATGCTTTGAAATTTTAAACCTAGACTATTCAAAGTTTAAAATATCAACGTTTATATGTACGACATCGGGTTGCTAAGATATAGGGATAAAAAAATCAGATTTTGTGGCAGGAACTCAGTTTCTTTTACTTACGCTTGCAGGACACGTCTGGGCCGAACCATTGAGCTGTGGTGTTGTAGAGAAAACATTTAGCATGTGCGAACCCAACTATTAAATATCCTAGAAATAAAATAAATTAAAAGGAAGATACGAACACAAACAGCTCATTGACCAAAAATAAAAATGAATCCCTACAATTAACTAATTTAGTGATTTCTCTGGGATTAAAAAAAATGTTTTTGATTAATATTTTATGTATTGACAGTAAAATGAAAGATAAAAAAATAGTTTAAATACAGAAATACAAATTGTTTTCAATACTGCAAAATTGTAGAGTTTCATATTCTTCAATTCATGTTCTTGATGAGTTTTCCGGAATATTTCATAAGTAAAACTTATCCTGAAATTTCAATTTTACCCGACTTCCGGTTTAAAAACCAACTTCCGGGGTTTGCTGTTTGTAAGAAATAAAAGAAAACTTAAATAACCAAAGAACGCCTTGTAGACATTTAAAAATCCTAATCTTTTATATATATATCCTAATCTTAGTAAACTATAATTTAGCTACAGGGTGTCCCAAAAAAACATGGGAATTCAGTGACGAATTCGAGATCGTCTTTGTATTGAAATAGCATTGTAATACCTAATTTCAAAAGCCATAATATTATTATGTCTGCTAGAGTTTATTTTATGAAAAGGGTAAAAGACTGTAAAGATGTGTCTATAATGTCTCCGCAAGATGAACAGTGAAGATGGCCAAGTTTACTCTGTTTGTATACTGTAATTTTTTACATTTCATTAATCAAAAATAGATATTTCAATCTTGACTCAAAGTTCAAAATATTTTTCTTCTTCTCTCCCGGTAGATTGAAATTTTAATCTTAAACCAATTTTATTAAAGGGACTGTAAGCGTAATTTCAAGTGAACTTCCATTTAAAGGGACTGTAAGCGTAATTTTAAGTAATCTTCTATTTAAAGAGATTGTAAGCGTAATTTAAAGTAAACTTCTATTTACAGGGACTGTAAGCGTAATTTCAAGTGAACTTCTATTTAAAGGGACTGTAAGCGTAATTTCAAGTGAACTTCCATTCAAAGGAACTGTAGGCATAATTTCAAGTGAACTTCCATTTAAAGGGACTGTAAGCGTAATTTCAAGTGGCCTTCCATTTAAAGGGACCGTAAGCGTAATTTCAATTGAACTTCCATTTAAAGGGACTGTAGGCGTAATTTCAAGTGACCTTCCATTTAAAGGGACTGTAAGCGTAATTTCAAGTGAACGTCCATTTAAAGGGACTGTAATCGTAATTTCAAGTGAACATCCATTTAAAGGGACTGTAGGCATAATTTCAAGTGACCTTCCATTTAAAGGGACTGTAAGCGTAATTTCAAGTGAACTTCTATTTAAAGGGACTGTAAGCGTAATTTCAAGTGAAATTCCTTTTAAAAAAATGCTTTCGATTTACAACGGTACCCTATGATAAATCTTTAGATGATTGATAATGTGAAAGATATCCTCGTTATTCTAGCTTGAATAGTGTTTAATTCTAATAATTTCTTCCTTTATGTTTCTAAGGCATAAACCCGCAAGTCACTTTATAAAAAAACCACAAATAAAATAATCAAGCGAGAAAAAGAATAATTTGAAAAAAAAAACAATTTTATAGATAAAAATAAAATGAAATGGAACAGTGTTTTGTTTAAAGCGAAATATCGTTCTTTGTTTTCATTTTTTCATCTTTAAATAGATAAAATTTGATTATATAATCATTAAAATTATAAAAAAGATATATCATGTTAGTATATATGAATAAAAAGATAAATAGATTTGGATGAGAGATAGATTTGAAAATTAAGGATTCATAATAATCATCTCTACATTATTATTTATTGATATAAATGTTGAATGCACCTAGCAGTTCCATACTTGGAGTTTATATAATTTTTGACTCTTTTGAGTGTTGCGGGTGCGGTATATATCCCTAAAGTTAATTCTATTTTTTAAATTGCAAGCTGAGAATTATTTATAGAAAATAAATGATGGAAAAATTCCCCAGTACGACATAAGAAAATCCTCGAATATTTCAACAACACGGGCAGCCAGAGTACATTTGAATTTCCGAGCCGGGTCAACCTTTCCGGTCCCAGTTTGTACTGTATCGCCCGGACATTGGGTAAATAAAGCAGACACTCCATAGGACTAGCCGGTGCAACATGGTTGACGCGGTCAGACTTTAGGTTTAATTTACTTTTACTAAAGGGTCAGAGGTGCGTGACAAAGGTTTTAAAAGATCTGTCTTTTAACACTAAATTCTGAAAAGTTCATTTTACAAAAATTTGGTAGTTATAATTATAAACCACAACCAGGGGTTTCTTTATTTTTTTTTGCCCAAAATCAAACAAAATTGATAAATATCAACAAATAAAATGTGGACAGTATTGAGCGACTTAATTTACATCGATATATGGGTATCAATATACCCATACCGATATATTTTAGAGAATGTTTTTTTCTATCAGTGATTTGTATTCTATATTTTCCTTAAATTAGCTCTTTCAGCTCACCATTTGAAAAAAATTTTATTAACCTTTTTTGTCAAATTCTTAGAATATTTGGGTCCAGAAATAATGTCACAACTTACAGCACGGTGGACTAATTGCCAGTGGGGTCGGTCAAATAGGCCTAGGATTAGGCCGGGTACAATAAAAAGTATGAACGCGCAATGGGAGTTGTCATAGTTAGCCCTCCGACGGGACTATGCCAAGAAAATTGACCCCTGTCGTATGTTAGTCTGGTTAGGGCGACGTACTGTACAGAATATGGAACCGGGATACCATAGGATCGGGTACATGTACACGCTGTTATCTGGCAGGCCGGTACAAACTGGGCAGGTCCTGTTCGAATTCAAATTTACTACGGCCCAGAGTGACAGGGCTCTAAGCTTGGTTCCAAAAACGACCCAACATATCGACTAGCGATTATAAAAAGATTGCTAAGGTCAAGGATGTAATGCAAGGAAAGTTAATTGCGGTTGCGTACACTCTGCGTACATATTGAAACCAGTTCTCTCTTGGCGGAATTTGTAAACAATAATAGATGCATCATTGTTTTTTTAGTATCCGAGGGGGTTAAAAGCTTTAAATTTTGATAATTTGATAATTCACATAAAATTTTCCAATGACCAGAATATTTCATTGATTTTTTATGTGAAAGATGGATCCCATGTCCGGCTTCGACATCTGTCTTGTGTTTACATTACCACCCAAAGACAATACACTGCAGTACAAAAGATGCGTACACCTCTGAAATAACTTTCCTTGCATTACAACCTTGGCTAAGATAAAGAGGTTGAGAAATGTATTTCACGGGCAGCCTGAGTACATTTGAATTTCCGAGCCGGGTCAACCTTTCCAGTCTTAGTTTGTACTGTACCGCCTGACAGGGGTCAACAAAGTTGGTCTAGCTCTGTGTACAGGACTAGCTGGGGCAACGAGGTTGACGCGGTCAGACTTTACAATTCTATAGGTTGAATTTACTTTTCAAGTTTTTATAAAAGTGACTTTCTTGCTACAGAAACAATGGAAGTAATATTGAGAATATTGAACATTTTTCAAGCTTGTAAAACAAGGATATCTTCCACATTAGTAATCAGATAAAGGTTTAAAGGGCACTGTAGCAAATTGGGTAAATCCCTCCGTAAATTGAGGGATAATTAAAATTCCAATGTGAGTCCCTTTAAGTTAAAATGTGTAAATTAACTAAAATGAAAAGATTGAACTAACTGAAGGTTTAAAGGAACCAAATTCTTTTATCTTGAGATTTTACAGATTAATTAAATGAATACTAAGTCAAGAGAAAATCTACCCACCACTACAATTCTAAATTGAGTCTTTCCCACAAACTCTGATATTCTAATCCCTATATCTTTGCAACTGTAAACCGTTGATATTTCAAACTTAGAATATTTGATCTAATGGAACTCATAGTTTGAAATATCTAAGGTCTAAGACATTGGGTTGCAAAGATATAGGGATTTGAAAATAAGAGTTAGTAAGAAGAAGACTAGAATCCAGAGACCTTAAATTTCATTGTGTGGCATGTCTGGATTCACAATGGTATTCTTTGAACCTTTGCCTGAGTTACAATAATGAAGCTATCACTTTTCTTCTGTCTGAAGATTACAAAAGTGGCTTGCGCAATTATGCAACAGGAGAAAATGAATGAAATGATCAAAATTCGACACTTTTCCAAATAAAAAAGACACGATATTTTTTCTCATGTAAAGGGTACCGATGTAAATTAAACATGCCAATCTATATTTATATGAAAGGTTACATGACACTACGTATATGTCCATTTAAATAAGAATTTCTGAACGCCATGACCGCAATTTTATCTTATGTTATCTAATGAATGTTGATTCATCTTCCACCGATTTCCCGGACTTTTGGCAAAATTGTTCTTATTTAGATTACAATATTGACCATGTCAAGTCAACATTTTTTAAATCCAGTTTTTATTCATTTTTTTTGTTGGGAGAAGAGCAAGGTTGGTTACTTTTCTTTACATTTGCCGTCCATGCTTAGCTTGACAAAACATTTGTTAAAATGAATGCTGTTGCAAAATTAGAATCCATATTGTGAAGTAGTTTTTATTGTGAGGGAGGGGGGGGGGCCCGTTCAGGATTATTCTTAATTTTGAAATAATTTTATTAGTCCGACATTGTACGAACAAAGCGTTTGGTTATTGCTTATAGCAATATTAAATTTGTTTTCTATTTTAATATCGAGATAACATAGTGATAAAGCATACAATTTGATCGAAAATACTAACACAATGTGAGAGATTTCTAACAAGGTTTTTAATCTCAAACATTCTGTTTGTAATTTTGAGCAATATGTTCGTGAAATATCAAAATATTTAGTTTTTACCAAGTGGATTGGTCAAGTTAATCATGATGTGATACGTCCCTGATATCTAATATGGTCTAGGGGTTGATTAGGTGGCCCCCTCTCTTGGACAAAGTCCTATATTCGCCCCTTATATGTGATATGGTCTAGGGGTTGATGTGGTGCCCCCCCCCCCTTATAATCCCTACATCTGTGCAACCCGATTTCGTATAAAAGGTTTAAACCATCAGGGTTCAAAGAAATAGAGATTAGAAAATTTGCGGCAAAAACTCAGTTCCTTTAAACTACATAAAAGTATATTTACAAATTTTTATAAACCAAGAGCAAAATTATATGAAATCCTATCATTACGACGCTTCTTCAAAATCACGCCATCTTCCCGTGGGGTGAGTTCCAGCGGGGGGACCAATTGACTGTAAACTATGCCAAAATTTTCGCAATGAGGTTGCAAAATTAAGCTATTTGTATTAATTTTCTATTTATTTTTAATCAGAAAAAGGAAATTGTTCATTTAAGAATCTAAATTAACAGTCAACACTTCTGAATTGCAAAAATGGATGAAAACAAAGCTAGCTTCAGAAATACACATTTTATTAATACGTATTTTAGCAGTACATATGCTAGCAGTACATAATCCAGCAGTACATTTTCTAGCAGTACATAACCCAGCAATACATTTTCTAGCAGTACATATTCTAGCATTTCATATTATAGCATTACATATTCTAGCAGTACATATTCTAGCATTTCATATTCTAGCAGTAAATATTCTAACAGTACATATTCTAGAAGTACATAATCTAGCAGTACATATTATAGCAGTACATTTTCTAGCAGTACATCCTCTAGCAGAATATATTCTAGCAGTACGTATTCTAGAAGTACATATTCTAGCAGTACATATTTTAACAGTACATATTCTAGCAGTACATATTCTAGTAGTACATAGTCTAGCAGTACATATTCTAGAAATACATATTCTAACAGTACATATTTTAACAGTACATATTCTAGCAGTACATATTCTAGCAGTACATATTCTAGCAGTACATATTCTAGCAGTACATATTCTAGCAGTACATATTTTAACAGAGTACATATTCTAGCAGTACATATTTTAACAGTACATATTCTAGCAGTACATATTTTAACAGTACATATTCTAGCAGTGCATATTCAGTAGTACATATTCTAGCAGTACATATTCTAGCAGTACATATTTTAACAGTACATATTCTAGCAGCACATATTTTAACAGTAAATATTTTAACAGTACATATTCTAGCAGTGCATATTCTAGTAGTATTTATTTTAGCAGTACATACTCTAGCAGTAAATATTCTAGCAGTACATATTCTAGCAGTACATATTCTAGCAGTACATATTTTAACAGTACATATTCTAGCAGTGAATATTCTAGTAGTACATATTCTAGCAATGCATACTCTAGCAGTAAATATTCTAGCAGTACATATTCTAGCAGTACATATTTTAAGTACATATTCTAGCAGTACATATTTTAACAGTACATATTCTAGCAGTGCATTTTAGCAGTACATATGCTAGCAGTACATAATCCAGCAGTACATTTTCTAGCAGTACATAACCCAGCAATACATTTTCTAGCAGTACATTCTAGCATTTCATATTATAGCATTAAATATTCTAGCAGTATATATTCTAGCATTTCATATTCTAGCAGTAAATATTCTAACAGTACATATTCTAGAAGTACATAATCTAGCAGTACATATTATAGCAGTACAATTTCTAGCAGTACATCCTCTCGCAGTACATATTCTAGCAGTACGTATTCTAGAAGTACATATTCTAGCAGTACATATTTTAACAGTACATATTCTAGCAGTACATATTCTAGTAGTACATATTCTAGCAGTACATATTCCAGAAATACATATTCTAACAGTACATATTTTAACAGTACATATTCTAGTAGTACATATTCTAGCAGTACATATTTTAGCAGTACATATTCTAGCAGTACATATTCTAGCAGTACGTATTCAGTAGTGCATATTCTAGCAGTACATATTCTAGCAGTACATATTTTAACAGTACATATTCTAGCAGTACATATTCTAGCAGTACATATTTCAGTGCATACTCTAGCAGTAAATATTCTAGCAGTACATATTCTAGCAGTACATATTTTAACAGTACAAATTCTACCAGTGAATATTGACCTGGAAAACAGCTGTACTGAAGAACGGATTCTAATTCAAACTGTTTAGCGTCAGGAGCACCATTGTGGTTTGCATGTTGCACCAGAGGGGGCTGATTGCAGTACACTGAAAATATAAACAATGAAATAGTTTTAATTGAACCAAGCTGTATTTTTCCTTTTGTTTACCTTTGACCAGGGGCCTATAATATTTTCTTGAAAAATCATTTTTTTTAGAAGTTTTTTATGGGTATACATTTTTTAAATGATTTATTCGCTGAATTAGAGAAAATAAATGATTTCTAGGAAATATACATCCCTGCCTGTGGTTTAGGGAATATACATCCCTGCCTCTGGCTTAAAGTACCTTTTTCTATAGATTGTTGGGTGGAGGGGGAAATATATGCTGAATGTGTGTATACATTGTTTGTTTACATTTCTAGTTCTGTTTGTTTTTCTTATTGAAGGGTTTAGAAGGGGGCGGGGATAAAGTTTGGTGCTAAATGTTTGACTTTGTTCAGGAAAATTAATATTTGGAGCGAACATACATGCGGTGAATTTGTAATTTATTAATTTTAAAACAATCCGCTAGATGGATTTGTAATTTATTAATTATAAAACTATCCACTAGATGGATTTGTAATTTATTAATTATAAAACTATCCACTAGATGGATTTGTAATCTATTAATTATAAAACTATCTGCTAGATGGATTTGTAATTTAGTAATTATAAAACTATCTGCTAGATGGATTTGTAACTTAATAATTATAAAACTATCTGCTAGATGAATTTGTAATTTATTAATTATAAAACTATCCGCTAGATGGATTTGTAATTTATTAATTATAAAACTATCTGCTAGATGGATTTGTAATTTATTAATTATAAAACTATCAGTTAGATGAATTTGTAATTTATTAATTATAAAACTATCTGCTAGATGGATTTGTAATTTATTAATTATAAAACTATCCGCTAGATGAATTTGTAATTTATTAATTATAAAACTATCTGCTAGATGGATTTGTAATTTATTAATTATAAAACTATCCGCTAGATGAATTTGTAATTTATTAAT